CATACTTATCACCGTTTCAGCATGTCGAACACAGATCTTAAACTGTGGGTAAGTCATATCAGTATTTACATAGTCATCGTACACATGCTTAAGATTTATTTCATCCTGCTTGAAGAGCACGAGCAGATTAGCATCGTCCCGTATCAGTTGTTTGGGAATGTGAGCGTACGTCTGACAGAGATAGAAACACTCAACGTCCCTGTGCCGTCTCATGCTGAAGAAGGTTCTGATGTTAATCTGTTTCTCGCAAGCTATGTCGTAATAAATAATTATCGAGTTTCGACATGCCTCTTTCGGTGGCAGCACTTATTCGTGTTCCGTAAAGGGAAAATAGTCAACGCCGTCCACGAATGCGAGTTAACGTTCTAAAAATTTGTACTTTGGCAGATCAAACGATTTTGAGTATACGTAGATGTTTTCGAATCTTAATCCGTTAGGATGAGTTATGAGTGCGAGCAATGCGTTCGTATTGCCGCAATTGAATGGTCTGTAAAACACTGCTCGTATACTGTTTGGCAGTAATTCGCCGTGTCGCTTGGCCTCCTTCTTCTCCTTTAATCGCACGATTTTGTCAAAATTCGTTACAGGTAACCTGACCGACTGCTTCTCGAAACTCATCTCGATCTTGTCTAACGTGGAAACTATAAATTACGAGTTTATAAGGATCACTGTTCAGTCAGAACTGTTTCACTGCTGGGACATGATTTTGCATCCTAAGCGTAAACGCATTGGGAAGAAAAAATCTCATTGTGGCAATGGATTAGTCAACAGGATCATCAACAGTCTACCCGTTGAGTTACATACACCGGGTTATCAGTACTGTGGGCCCGGTACGAAACTAGCAAAGAGACTCGCGCGAGGCAATCCGCGCATCAACCCTCTCGACGCAGCCTGCAAAGAGCACGACATCGCCTACTCGAAGAATCGAGACAGCCTCGAACGCAGAGGGGTAGCGGACAGGGTACTGGCCGGCAAAGCTTGGAAGCGCGTTTTCACGAAAGACGCGAGCATCGGCGAAAAGGCAATAGCCTGGTCTGTAATGAACGTAATGAGTGCCAAGTGGCAAACTCGGTATGGGAGTTAAGAAAAAGAAGGTGCGCATCTTCTTCGACCTCCGTTAGATCTTGTCGAATACCTCGGTGTTGGTAGTGTAAAGTGTAATTACGAATGATATTAGGAATACGATACTTTCGCATGCGGACACTTATGTCTAAAGTTTCTGTGTGGACAGCTAAATGGTAAGAACAAGTTTCGTCTATACTGAGACGTTTCGTGATTTTTGAGTGTTAGGAACCACGAGACTTTTTGTAGGGTTTGTGCACTGGGCAGGCGTCTTCAGAAACAATCTAGACACTGGAGTTTTTAAGATAAACAAAAGAATGATATATTGTCCTATAAGTTACAGACTAGGTATCCTTAATATTCTATTTTGCTCTCTCTCACACATACACACACTTTATAATTGGCTCTAGTTTGCCAGTAGTACCACAGGCGACAAGAAGTGTTTTTGTTTACTTTATTATCTCTGCTAGCCTTTTGGATTGGAAAGAGGTGCTGGAACGACAATACAGCAGATTGCACAATGCGTCCGAAGACCAGCTATTGGTTCGGATGATAATGCTTCAGTACCCACAGGAGATCACAATGAACCCCGTTTGCTGAATCCCTTATCTGAAGGATAGGTTCGACTCAGACAGCTACTAATCACAGTGATATTGGGAACTGAATCTTTTTAAGGTGGGTTGTTTTTGTGGATGGTCTGCAGTCCTGACAGTTCTATTACAATAACTTTACTGCAGGAGAATGCAGAGGGAATTGGGATGCCCTTCCTGACACTAGGAGGTATCACAATGATTCCTTAGGCCTGGTATGAGCTCTGGGATGCTCAGACAGCTATTAATCACAATGATATTGGGAGCTGAGCTTTTTAAGGATTGTGGTTGTTCTGTAGTGGTCGATTCCTGACAGCTCCAGCACAATGCCTTTGATGCAGAATATCTACAAGGATAGCAGATTTCCTGATACAGGGTGGAGACACAATGCTTTCCGAGACCAGGAACTGCCGAGGATGAGTTCCCACAGTTTGCAGTACAATACTGTTCACTGGTTCACTCTGGAACAGAGGATTGGTTTTCTCCTAGCTTTTTGATAACTTACACTTTCCAAATCTTTACTAGCTTCTTGTCGTCTTGTGGTGTACAAGGGTCTTGTCGATTCGTCTAGATAGATGCGAGTGGACCGACTGATTTCCCTATCGAAGAAGCTGCTGCTTATATCCTCGATAGGAATACGTTAAAACTAGTGGGGATAACGATTTTTATCCACCCGAGGTGTTAACGCCGCTTTTTGGATTCAATATTTTAATTTACGATTTGATTTGATTATTTGTTTTGACTGATTCGATTAGCGGTTTTCTTCCAGTACCGGCTTACTGGTATTTCTATTGTATTCGGCGCGTGCCAGCTTATAGCGCGGTTTCTTGAAGTACCGGGTTACTGGTATTTCTATTGTCTTCGGCGCGTGCCGGCTTATAGCGTCTGGGCATTTGTTTGTTTTGGTTTCAGTCTGTCGACTGTATTTCGGATTCTAGGAATATTAAAAGCAATAATTTCTAATATTATATCCTCATGACTGTCGCTGTGACTAGATTCAAGGGAATTACGCAATATTAGAGATTTAAAAGTCCTGTCTTCCCTTTCCTTTATCGGCGTCGCTATGAGAGGTCGATAGGATTATTGAGGAATTCTAGGATTTGAGTAGTTCTCTCAGATGCTGTTATGCACATCCACAGTGCGCTATGCACTCTTATGTGGGGCTCTTGACGTATCAATCATCGAGAATGGATGATTGTAAAGGAAAAAGGATAGAGGATAGGGGGGTATAAGGTCGGAACGTTACAATACATATAAACGCACTGCGTAATTCTACAACGTCAGTCGAACGTTTGCGATTACGGAAGATTCATTTACGTTAACCTTATCAGACACCTCCTCCATACTCGAAGCCCAATACCTTCCTCATATCGAGCTTTCCCCGTACAAAAATTACGTTCTGGGACTCATCGAACTGCTAACCTTCGATTCCCAATGTAGAGACTATCACAATAAGCTGTACGTAGAGGACGAAGTTATCACAATACCTACTGGTAGCTACGAGATAGAGGATATCGAGAACTACATGCAAAGCGCGTTGATGGATGAGACTATCGTCATTCACATTAAGCCTAACAATAATACGTTGTGCAGCGAAATTAAGTGTAAATGTGATTTCGACTTTTGACCCAATGATTCCATAGGCCGCTCTTGTTGGGCTTCACTCATCGTATTCTGAAAGCTAATAAATTAACTATTCAGCCTTCCAAAAGTAAAAAGCACTATTAAAATATACAGTTGTCTTTATTTGAACATCCTTCTTCTAACAGCGCTAATTTAAAATATAAATGTTCAATTAGATGAAAAAAAAAATCCTCAAAAATGTTTTCAATTAACATTTTCGTTTGATTTGAATAAATTTAATATAATTAATTAATTATTAATTAATATAATTTGAATGTAAACAAAAATTTGCAAAAAGTTTAAGCAGCGAGAATCGAATCCGCGCTTTTTACGTCGAGTGGTGTCCAAATGTGTGCAGACCCCTTGCCCACGGAACCAGGTGCGGCCGTTTGCCCACGGCCCACTTGCGCACGGATCGATCTCGTAATATCCACGGACCCACTTGCGCACAGGCCCAAATTTCCGTCGACCCAGATGCCCACGGCCCACTTGCGCACAGATTGAAATCAGGTGATGCCCAGTTGCGCACAAACCCATTTGAACACAAAAGCGAATTTCTGTCTCCTGAACGATATTCCATCAGTAATTTAAGGATATTGTAAGTTATCTTTATCTGACGGAACCATTTCAAACATTTAATGCTCTCTTTAGATATATTTATCCAGTAACCTATCCAGTCTCCGAGGTTTAAACTTTCCATCCTAACCTAACCTAACCTAACCTAATTTATTTGAATGGCCCATGCTATATTGATATACGACGATACGGTATCCGGTCGTGGGGTAGAAATCTATGCGTAAGTGGGCCGTGGGCATCTGGGTTGACGGAGATTTCAATTCGTGCACCAGTGGTCCGTGGGCAACTGGATACGTGAGCAAGTGAGCCATGGGCAAACTGTCCGTGCGCATCTGGTTCTGTGGGCAAGTGGTCTGTGCGAATTTTGGTCCCTCCCTCTACGTCTAAGTTGAATACGCTACCACTTGAGCCATCTGACCGGCTGAAAGATATTACATCGAAATCTATATAACCTACGTAAATTTTCTTAAAACTTTTTTCTCGACAATGGCTGAAAAGCGCATCCTACTATTTCAACACATTACTAGTTTATTAATGACCTATTACTTGGAGGAATTTGAATCCAAACAAAATTCCACAAGGTATGATTTTCCCTTGTAAGTTCGACTACAACTCAAAAATTATATGAAGGATAAATGTGAAAGTTTAAGATGAGGCTCCTGAGTAGACTGACTGTCCTCTACGATGGATCCAAGCTTGGAGAGCATCGTGAACCTAGAAAAGGGACGTTCAAATGTTGATTTTGTGCGTTTCGGAACCATGGGACTGTCGCGGATTGTTGTTGGTTCCAACGGTCTTGTCGCGTCATCGGCACGTACCACAGAGTTCGCACTCCTAAGATTTCTCTGGTTTACGCTAAGCTAGACAATCTCTCTCTTTTCCACCCACTGGTGATATTTGTGGAAATATTCCACATGCGAATCGTCCCATGGACTTACTATGCTATGATTATCAATATATCTATGATTATCTTATTGTTAACTTATATTATGGAACAGCTAGATGCTCGTATGGACCAATTACATTTGCGAGTTGTTTGTGCTAAAAATTGTAGGGCAGGGGAGTTTAGTGGAAATGTTTGGGAGCGTAGTTGCGTCTGGCGGAACAGTAATCCTATATCACACCATTGAATTCAATAATATAGTTATATTTCTTTGTTAAAACATATTATTTAATGCAAACATTAAACGAGTAACCTACACAACACGTATAAATTCTTTCCTTAATATCAGAATTTACGACGAAGCTCCTATTTCGTACTATGGTAATCCCACAAAATGATGTTTTTCATGTTTATCCTGAATGCATTTCGAAGATCTTTTAGATTTCTGTAGGATGCACTTTAATGGACAACATAACTCAACTCCCAGTCTAGAGTCATGCATAAAATAATTTCTCAGTTCGTTGACTGGTAATCTAAAAAATAATTGATTTTATAAGAATACATAAACATGAAACTAAAAATTAAATATAGTACAATTTCTTAATAATTAAAAATATTTTGAAAATGTTGAATCTTTTATATGAATGGCTTCCTTTGATGTTAGTCACTTTTCAATGCTTAAGTAAATCTGTGTTTTTTTTGTAGATGTCTTACAGTGACTAGCAAGACTACCACACAAGCAAAAAAAATGAAGTCATAAGACGTACTTATCGATACTCCATTCTTCTACCCCATCTTCCATCATTGATAGTGCTTGACAAAAATCTTGACCTACTTTTCTAAGATGTTTAATATCGAAATGATATCCTGCTAATGAGCCCTGATCACATCCACAAAAACTGCTCTCCATGGTGTAACTTCTGAAAAGATTACAAGAATCTCACATTAGGTGACTGGGTTGAGTCTCATATTCAACATTTTTCGTAATTTTAGTGTATAACCTTTTAATTTCTTGAATACTTCGAATCAATTTTCTTTTAAAATTGTAATAGTACTTACGAGGACCTTCCGTCCAAAACGCTACAAAATAGATGTATTTTGTTATTTTGGTATAACAAAACTATAAGAGAGTATTAATTTGCAGGTGGAATAATTTGCATTCTAGTAAGCTCATACAAAAAAAAAACAAATAAATTTTTTTGATCCTTTGCTGGTTGAGTTTTTTCTAGTAATATCATAAAAAAACATAACTGTTTACTAACTATTGAGAATAGAAGATACAACAAAAATTTTGTATTTTTCCCGTATCGAAAACTACGCTTAGATTACAAATAATATAATAACATCAATTATTACCTCTATTTTTCCTTACTTAGGATTTTCTTTGAAATTTGGTACTTAGAGGGTTTGACAGTCGCTAATTACGAATATGAACTCAAAACTGATAAATTGAGAATGGCGATTCCAATACAGCCGATCAACGTGCAAAAAGTGAGTTAATTTGGGTGAAATTCGATGCTCAATAATATTTTAAATAGTTACAATATACACGTTGTCGTATGATAGTTTATCAGGCCAGATTACCTTTCTCTGACCTGATAGCTACAAAAAAAGGATTTACACGTCTAATGTAACTCCTGTTTCCGGATTTCCTAAGATGGTATAAATGTTACTCTATCCGGGGAGCAGGGGTACCTTCGCTAGACCGATCAGAGATCCCCGAATCTACGATTACCACACAAATCTGTAAGGTAAGCCGATGGGCGCCACATATCCAGTGATACCTACAGGGAAAGGTAGTAGAATGCACCAAGATAGCGAAAGGAAACAAAGATCCGACGATACTATGACCGATGAGTCGCGGAAGTCCAACTAACTAAATCCCTATAAGGCACAGGAGAGGGGCAGAGTAATTAGGAAGTAAGAGTCGTAATTTCGTAATCAAAATTTAACAATTTATTGCTCCTGGCAAAAGAATATAACAAATAACAGAGACCCGACAAGAATACGGAAAAGCTACCAGAGGTAGTCGATACAGGGACTAATAGATATGGATAATAGAATGCTCCTAAACGTGGCCGAAAAGCTCTGCAAGATAATGAGCGGAATTGTCAGTACACAAGCCCGTACACAGGCAGCACAAAAAGTACACATGTACTAAGATAGGCGTACTCACAGATACATATTGTGACGCGAATTTTTGGAAATACACGCCACAAACGACCTGCAGAAATAGGGACGTAGGAAATATAAATTCAAACGCTCCAAACGTCATTCGTAGGTTAAGACGCACCGATTCCTTAGTATTAAGCAACCAGCCTGTCGTCCGTCCTAATGTTTATTTGTTTGGCTTTATTCCATACTGCTTGTTTTCTTTTTTTTTCTTTTCTTCCTTTGGTGTAATGTATGACGCGTTGATGCAACCGCTTGGTGCGAGCGCTGATAGATCGAAATCGAACAACGGGAGAAGTGAGGAAAGAGGAGGTGATTTTGGTGATAATGGGAGACCGACTGTCGCTGATCCACGAGGAGGGGCTGCTGCCACCAAGGACCCAGGAGGGTTCCAGAGTACCCGGGATGGCGCTCCAGCTTTCGTCTGCCAACCGTCCAGCTGGGACGTCCTACTATCGACGCAGCCATCGCCGCCGACCACGAGTCGACTTGTCCCCTTCGTCCTGTCGCGAGGCCGCGAGTATATCTACGGCGGGCTCATGTCGAAGTACCGCCGGAAACAGGGAGCGAGTGCCATCAGAACCGCGGACGCCCGCGCTCCCTAGCCTACGAACAGACCGCAGCACCCGAAGACTCCCGAACGTGCCGCCGACATCATCGGTCATCTTCGTGAATAGCTATGATCCTCACCGCAATATATCCCTTAAGCGATTGATTCTAAGTACGATGATTTGTCATGGTTCCATCAGCACCAAAATAATGTAAATAGTCGGGGTCAAGAGGTCTTGAGCTCGGTGAAATTGAAACGAGGATTCACTAACGTTTGGAGCTGCTTAGGTAGTGGTCATATCTAGGGAATGTAGTAAGAATAGGCAAACGAGAACAAAGGAATCAGGAGAGAGAATTAACGAAATTGAGAAAGAAGGATCGAAGGAAGGAAGGAAGGAAGCCCTTTTGGCCCTTGTCTGAAGATCTATTCTCGTTTTCTGATACAATATTTGGTGAGACCCTTGATTATCCATTATAAATTGGCAATATATAATTTCTTGGTGTCAGTGAAAAAGTACCGTTTAGGCCTTCTGCTTCAGCGGAAGTATCTCCGATTTTTGAGTGTCCCGATGTGAATGTCTTTCCGCATCGGGCTAGTAAAAAGGACGATAGTGATGGGATTTGCGATTTGTTAGAGTATTCCAATAAATTCTATTTGTTTGATTTTGCCGCATGAGGCCCTAAAGTATAATTCAACGCTGGAATTTGTCTCCAAGCTACGCTATCTTGAATAATCGAAACTTTTCTGTAGTGCCGTTTTTTGGCGATGTTCAATGCTTTACTAATTTGTTATACATAGCATCTTCTAGTTGTTGCCTGTAGTTCGTACCGAAAGAATTCGTTACTAAATCTTAAGCGCCTTTCTGGGCAAATTCGAAATCCATTGTTCTTGCGATACACGCGCGGCCCTCGCGGCGATCGCCTGCGTTTTCGCCAGCCGTTTTTTCCGCTCCTTCCGAGCACGGCCAATTAATCGCCACGAGTATTCTTCTAAAATAAATTTATAATATCAAAAAGAGTTGTAACAAGCAACTATAGGATGCTTTTAGTGATAATGATTATATCATATTGTATGCTCTCGTCATTTATGTGATTTCGTGGTGTTATCTATTTTGTATCTTGTATTTGTCGCGTATTTTCCTGTTAATTTTCGAATCTCCGGGTGCCGCGATTGACTCTTTCCTATTCGCGTGAAACTCTGTCAAGATCTGGAGAATTGTCGTCGGGATTTCGTAGTAGCCTTTTAGGAGCTATTGCTATGTATTCGCGTTTTTTGCGCTCGTGATAAGTCCTATTTATTGACTATCTTCTGTGAGACCTTGAGTAAAATCGGAGAAGTCCTCCGTTAAATGTTCCCAATTCGAACTGCTAGGTACGGCCCTGCCCCGCGAGCGCGTCACGAGCCTTACCGCTCCCCGCAAATACACGCTCGCCCGCGCCTACAAACTCGTCGAGCTCGCCGCTCATGCGTGCGTTGTTAACCGCGTTATCACCGCCGTGCGAACTTTAGCGAAGAGCCGTAGAACGACTCTGGCTCATTCGAAAATAATTATAAATTATTTATGAGAATCTGGACTAATATTATATGACCGATTGATGCTTAGTAGACTCGTTCCGCATTGTTACTGTCTTTTTAGGGTTCTTTCTGCGTTAGTTTAAGTAAAACATTGTAAAGATTCTTTCCGCATTTCAGTAGGTTCATTTGAGCGTATTGTTGACTTCGTGAATCTTTCATTATTATAATCAGTATATTTAGCGACTTGAATTATATAGTCACAATTTCGAATTTCAATAGATACAATTAATTGTTAGATTATCTTAATTATGTTTCTCCGCTTGCTCTTCATTCTATTGCTTGCTTATCTATACTTGCGTTTCTCTTTCCGCATATATTATATATTGTATTAATCTTTTTAAATTAACTTTACTTTAGTTTATATAGAATCTTTTTCTTTACTTTGTTAATTTAGCGTAAGGCTTTTGTTAATGTGAATTGGATTTGCTTGGCCCCGCTCGTATCGGGCGTTTCGTTTTCCTGCCGCATGTTGTTGGCTTATTTAAATTTTATTTTGGCTATTTGTGTTTTTCTAATTGCTTTTAACTGCTTGTTATAAAATATAGCTCTGGTGCGTTAACCTTATTTAGTGCTTTTTCATGCTTTGCGATTTACCTTCTCTGTTCCCCGCCTGAACGTCACGACGCTTCCGACTAGCTACTCACCGGATACGGCATTTGGTGAAATATTGTTTAGCGACCTTCTCTCCTTCTCTGCTTGGTGAACATCTTATGGATCGACCGTTGTCCTTTGGTGAATCTTGTAGTCAAATTATTTTTGGTGACTTTTGTCAACGGGTGGCACGTCTTAGGACTGTTGGCGTCGCCACCGGTTCCATTAATTTATTAGTGACAATTTCGTGAATGGGAGACCCGTCTTAGGTTGTTGGCGTGATCCTCGCTTCCGTTATATTAGTGTATAGTTTTAGTGTAACTCGGCCTTTTCCGAATTGGATAAAATAATTAGTAGAGGGATACCTGGCGCCCAACCCGTTATTTCGTGGTGGTGATAGAAGGCCGAGAGAGAGGACTATTGCGGGACGTTTTTGCTAACGTGAGAGATATTGTTTTTGATGGGTCAAGTGTTTCTTTTTTTTGGGGGAATTTCTTACGTTACAATACATAGGTGTATTCACAGGTATACGAGAAGATGCAATTGCAATATTATAATTTTTGGGTGTCCTTTCGCATTCCGGATAACAAGATAATCACAAGATAATCACATGACAATACAGTAAGGTAAGCGGTTAAAACAAAAAGGATGTAAAATCCTCAAAAGATAAACTTATAATAAAATGATATATCAAAGAACATCCTGAACATTCTGAATTTCCACGTCTAACACCTAGATACAGGAAATTACGAAGCGGAACACGTAGGCACCCTAGACTTCCATATCTAATACCTAGATACAAAAAACTACGGAGCGGAACATTTGGATACCCTGGACATCCACGCCCGACATCTAGATATAAGAAAGTATGTTATGGAGCGGAACATTTGAACATCTTATATCTCTAAAAACTGTCACCTGAAATACGAGGAACTATGTTGAAGCACACACATACATAAACCCATACACACGCGATCCGCATGAATGTTACTAAAGACTTAATGATAATTCTATACTATTGTGAAAGTAGCCT